TGATCTTTTGATCTAATTGTTTTATAGTATGATCTTAAATACTAAGGTAACATATCCTTGTAGAATGTACTGTGACTTGACACTTAACTAGCTATGTGACCCTGGGCAAGTCACTTAACCCCAACTGCCTTGCAAAAAAAAAAAAGATACCAATAAACACATTTTTTTTTTTTAAGGTAATGTATTGTGGAATATGGTATAAGGTATTGGTCTAAACCTAATTTCTGCCATTCTGCTATCTACCTAGTTTTAATTGACAGATCGTGTAGATAATGTCTATATGTTCATTTAACACAGATTTTACCGGTTTTGGTTTTATTACTGAGAAAGGCATTAGAATTAGCAACTACCACATTAGACTGTAAATCAATTCTCATCTTGACTTAACAATGATATTGTAATTATGTGTGGAAAAGAAACCACTAATTTTATGAGATGGAAGAGTTGAAACAGCAAAACTAGAATCATGTGAGCATGCAATTAGAGACTTTATAAAACACTATACACTAAGCAATTTATTACATAATAATGAAGGGGAAACATCTGATTGGATGGTTAGCTCTTACCTTTAGAAACATGAATTTTCAAATCATGGTCAGCTCATAAAATAAATTCAGTGGTTATAAAACTGAACACAATTCATGTTTTTTGAGTGCTTATTGCTAGTAAGGCACAGTGTTATATATTTTGGAGATACAAAAATGAATATGTTCATGAATAAATATGAAAAAGATTAAGAACATACAAGAATGTACTATAAGAGTTCCATCCACAGAACCTTCACTTCCAGCTGTGGATAGTAGGGAATCAGAAATTAAGGCAGTCTGAGGGGCAGCTAGGAGGCGCAGTGGATAAAGCACTGGCCCTGAAGTCAGAACAACCTGAGTTCAATTCCAGCCTCAGACCAAACACTTGACACCTAATAGCTGTGTGACCCTGGGCAAGTCACTTAACCCCAATTGCCTAAAACAAAGAAAAGAAAAGAAATTAAGGCAGTCTGAAATGTTAGAGGTGACATCTGAATTGGGTTTTAAAGAATGGGCAGGATTGAGAAAAGATGTCATTTGGGGTCAGAGAAGGAACTCTGAAGCCTCAAACTTCTGCTGCCACTGCTGTGACCACAGCCTCCATGGTTAAGCTATAGCTGCCCTGCTGGCCAGACCACTGGACTCAATGTCTTCTAAAAGCCTTAAAGAGCAGAAGATGTGAGACTTATTTGGGAGCTGCATTCTTTACCAGATCATGTCAACATGAATGTGAGCTAATAAAAATAATTAAAAGGTACCTAAAGTTGAATGTTAATTAAGCCTTCTTTCTGTTAGTAACTCAGTATGGTGAGCTTTTCAACACCTATTTCCAAACTGAGTTAAATTAATAAGGATGAAAATGGATTCCTGCATATGGATTCTTTCAGGATATATATAGTTGGAAAGAAATCTTTAGTCTAAGACTACTGCAAAGCTTCTATTCAAGAATTTTTTACATCCTCACCCAGAAAAAAAGGGGATGCTGCCATCTGGGATTGATCAGTTCATCTAATTACAGTTCACAAAAATAGCAATATTATTACCACTTAGGCTCATCACTAAGTTGTCCTTTGTTTTATAAGCAAATAAGGATATACAATACTGCTGTGTTATTATTCCAGTGGTAACCTAGAAGCATTCAGTAGAACAACTAAGTCTTCCTTCTAGTCCATGTAAACTAAGTAAAAAATTTTTATTGAAATGTTTCTCTTTAACAGTGCAAGTACAACTTTAAGTAGAGCCTGTCAAATATCATATGTATTTTTAAAATTCCTTTTGCCATCAATGGTCCCAGCAAAATAGGATAAATGGGGATGAATTACTTTTTTAAAAAATCTAACCTATTCTGGAACCTATGACTAAGGTTTCAGATTTCTAAGTATCATAGAAACACATTAAAGATCAACTTTCTTGCTGTTTTAGGAGGCTGATTTATATCAATATCACTTATATAGTTTCGTTTCTCATACTTACAAAGAGAAATAGCATGGATTTGTATACACTAAATATAGCTTCAAAAAAGGTTCCCAAGAGCAGTAAGATGGTGTTTATTATATTGTGGATTTGCTTTGATGTTTCATTAAAGAGTTGCTTCAGAATAATCCTCTTCTGATGCAGTGGCAGTAACTACATTATCCTAAAACTTTAAAACTTATTTGCAACTCCTTTGTACCTTTAAATCTGTAGCCTGATTTATTATGCTTCAAGTGAAAAAGTGACTATTTCCCTAAAATCTTTATTAAAATGTTACTGTAAGCCAAAACCTACCCCCAAAAAGTTTATATACACATAATTTTGTAAAGAAGACTATCTCACAAAAGTATGGACACTTTTGACAAATACTTATTTGTCAGGAGTTTAATATTAACACTTTAAACAGCATACTATTTTCTGTTACTTGCACTGGGTTTACAACTTATCTTTATGGAGTGGCAAAGAAAGGTCACTGTCATGCTACTTTAATTGAAGTATTATATATACTTCATAGTAGTATATACTATATATATATATACACACTGTGGAAGTATATATATACTATACACTATACAAGTATATACACAGTAGTATATACATACATATAACTCAATATGTAGCAGATGAGATAAAATTTAACTTTGTATGTTAAAATGTGTGTGAAAAATCTACAACTGTTACGGAAGGTTATTTTCTTGATGTAGAAAAGTTTTATTATTGCATCTTGGCACTATGTAGTTAATAAATATATATAAATTTTACTCTCCCTTCTCCCCCCAAAAAAGAATGTGTATGATCTGATGTCATTTTGATCTAAAGCAAACCAACCCAACATTTATTAAGTACTTATTTCGTGGCAAAGCACTGAGTAAAGTGAAAAATGCCAAAGTCCCTGCCCTAAAATCTACTAGAGGGATACCTGCACAAAAGTAATTATAATATAAATGAGAAAATGATGAAAAGCATAGGAGAGGTTAAACTCAAGTCAGTCGGGGAAGAGGGAAGGCTCACTTCTAGCTGGAGGTGGTTAAGGAAAGGTATCAATGAATCAGGGAAAACATCAGACAGAGGTCTGGAAGGAAGGCATTTATTTTAAGTAGAAACCAACTCTGACTCAGAAAGAAAGAGGAAAAGATGAGGCTTTAAAGGGCAAATGAGGGGAGACAAGGAAGTTCATGTTAGGTAGCCTCAAATCCTCAATAAAGTAAGCAATAAATATCATTTGCTAAAAAAGGAAGGGTAGGCTTGATGTTTGGGACTTTAGGAGAGGACAAAAGTTTTATAACAGCTACTGTGAAGAAAATGACAGGAAGTCAATATAAGGTAAATAAATTTATTATAGGGAAGCTGATTATACATTATCTTTCTATAACATTTATTTCTGCAGCATTATTTTACTTTTAAAAACTACTTAATTCACTGGATTTTTAAAATTTATTACTGGATAAATTTTGGTTCCCTATTTCATCTTAAGAGAATCACAACTAGTTAAATCTCAACTGTTCACGTTTATGGAGGAGTATGCTAACACAGGTAATTCTGAGCAATGGCTAATTTTTTAAAAATTACATATTTAGTGATGGATCATATATACTCTATTTACTGATGTCTTCCTTTTTTATCTTTATATATGTTCTAGCCTTTCCTATGTTTAAAAAGTAATTATTAGCTATAATACCTTTTCTTCTTCCCTTTCTTCTCACTGCCAAATTTCTAAAACTTTCATGCCAATTACTTCCACTCTTATTATCACTCCTTTGAAAACTTTCCCCTTTAATTCACATTTTCATCTAATTCAAACTCCATTCTCCAAAGTGATTACAAGTATATTATTTCAAAATTAAGAAAAATATTCAAAAACATGTCTTACCTTAAAGAAGTTTCTATTTAAGCAAGTGTTGTAGAACTATATTATGTCTATGTTCTCCAAATTTGTTAACTTAGTACTTTATTCATTATGTCAAGCAAACACGTGATGATAAAAATGGTTGCTTTGTCACTTCATTTCTCTCTTTGGAAAGTGAAATGTAAATGAATTCTTTTTAATATTTTGATGAAATTTATTTGTAATATATGGCTCCACAAAGATCCTCTACATTGATTACATAACCACAATAATAAACTCACATATATATACCCTTTAAACAAATTTCAATAACCTATTAAGACTTTTTTCATTTAAATGTCCCTGAATGTAAACCAGAGAAAGGACAGGCTTTTATTTTTTCAATATTATTTATGCTGTTAATCATTTCAATCCATGAATAAAAAAAATGATTAAAAATCTGTGTTTCTCTATTATGGGATTTGTTGTAATAAAGCTTTTTCTTAGCCTCAAATGTCAAATAGCATAGGGTACATTTTAATTGCTAGGCATATTTTACCCATATTCACTGTGATCTATTTTCTTTGCTTTCTTCTCTTAAGGTCTAAAATTTTAGCACAGTTATATTATAGCCTGAACAGACAATCACTGATACATTAAGGGATAATGAAATTAAGAGGACGATTTATTTTGAAGACTAGAAAAAAGACAATTGACGCTTTAGCTTTTGCGTTCCTGGTTTCAGTTGGAACACATACTCAAAAGCCTTTGGGAAGAATAACATGAGGGCCTGTTTGTGAGAAGAAGAAAAAAGTGCAACATAACCATGAAAAGCATGGTAACTACATCTTTATTTATCTGAATCCAACTTACCAACATCATAGCTGGCCTCTAGAAATAAAGACCAAACTGGATTAAAAAGCATTTATATATAGAAAGAATAATAATATAGCATGAGATGTATTAAAAATTCGGTCAACAAAAACTGCTGAAGTCATGTTACTACACTGCCTTTTGCTCACTTCTGATGACTTAGTTGTATTTTCGGGTTTTGTGAGTTTGTTATTTCCCTATTTAATCAACACAAATGTGATTTTGGTTCAACTACACTTTTCCATTTATTTAGGGGTACCTTATTCCAGAGCAGTCCTCAGATAATTAATAGCTTATTATACCTGATAGTTCTGCAGCAGGATAAGACTGAGGTAGAACTCACTGAAGGCCAGTTTAAGGTCTCGAATGTTCCTATATTGAACACGTTTTTCATGGGACAGGTGGAAAACTGGATTTCTGCGCTTTCGAAGTGTAGAAACACCACTTGTTTCCTTCTGTGCCTCCAACGAGGAATGAAGCTCATTTTGAAGGGTAGAAAACCTGCGCTGAGCCTCTGCAAGCTTTTCTATAAAGAAAGAAAAGAGAAATTGCAAATGGAGAACACTTGAGAAGTAAATGCTTACCAACCAAAACCTATAAGTGTTTTACCCTGGTTTGTACAATTTTTTTTAGAGCTTTTTCAGTAAATAAGAAAAAAACCTGAAGTTTGTCTTACACTTTATTTCTCGGAGTCTGAGTGGAAAATGTCAACTCAATATTACAAAGAAAGACTGCAGCAAGATAAAACAAAGAGAAAATTACATATCAGTGTTCACAATGATCATAAGTTGCATGTTGATACAAAACCCCATTTTTTTAATGTCAATATTCTGATGGGGATGATATATGGCTGTGAATTATATACCATAATTTGATACATGTCCCTTCCATCTCCTACTACATGTTCACCCTGAGGGAAGTGGCAAGGGGCCAGGCAACTTTCACACTGCTGCCAAGGAACATCCCACTGAGTCAGGAATCTATGACTTCCTTCTATACCACCTGATCTGCAGTCTCAGGTGAGAAGAGGAGATAAGACCTTCCTCTGACTGTATGCCTTCCATCTCCTGCTGGATGTGTCTCTGAGGGAAAGCAGCAGGGGGCCAGGCTAGGCTGATTTCCATCTGGGCCAACACAAGGCAACTTATACATCCTGCTGCCAGTCTATCCTACCAACAATAGAAAACCTTGGGTACAAATTGAAGCAACCTTCCCTCTTGACCTCAGGCCTTCCAATTCCTGTGGTGCCTATCTCTCAAGGAAGAGGAAGAAAGCTGGCAGTAATTGGGATGCCTTCTGTTGTGCAGGTTCAACTTCCACCTCCTATCGTGCTATTTACTGCCTAATCTCCAGCCTTCAGAGGAGAGAGAAGTAGTGAGATAGGGTTTTCCATCTAACCATTTGACTTTGTACTTTTCTTTTCATGCTGCACTTGTCTACAGCCCAATATCCAGCCTCCTTTGGGGAAAAGGAATGGCACCTTTCATTCAGTGATGAACAGTTTCACATCTGGTCATACTCTACACGTACCAGTGATTCTGAACTCTGCAGGTCATCAACCAAACCCCATTCTCCATCTTCCACCATCCACTTTCTTATTCTCCTTCTCCTCCTCCTCGACTCTCCCACTTTCCAACCAAACACCACCATCCTTTTCCGTTATGCTCTTTGGAATGCCTGTCCCATTGACAACAAACTTCCCTTCATCCTAAATCTCTCCTCCTACTCCTTCCTTCTTCTAGCTATTAGAGAAACTTGGTCATTTTGATCTCCTTAGACAACTTTTCCACTAATGGCTATATCTTCACTCATTCCCCTTGCATCACTGGTTGAGAGTTAGAGGAATTAGAATACTCCCTACTCCCCATTGCCTCTTCCAAGTTCTCTCTTCTTCCATTGCTCAGTATGTCCTATATCTCTTCTGCCTTTTGAGCTAAACTCCTTCAGAAGACTATCTACAATAGGTGCCTACATTTTGTCTCCTCTCATTCTCTTCTTAACCCCTTATATAATTTGGCTTTCAATCTCATTATTCTACCAAAAATGCTCTCTCCAAAATCATCAATGATCTCTCAGTTGCCAAATCCAGTTGCATTTTCTCTATGGTCATTCTCAAACTCAACCTTTCTTCAGCCTTTAACAATATTGATCACTCTCTTCACCTTGATACTCTCTTCTATCTAGATTTTCAGGATGGCACTCTCTCCTGGTTCTCTTCCTACTTTTCTGACCACGCCTTTCTTAGTCTCCTTTGCTAGATACTTTCCCAGACCATACCCTCTGGTATGGTCTCAGGGCTCTGGCTCTGTTCCAGGTCCTCTTTTCTTCTCCTCCTTACTACTTTACTTGGTGATCTCATCAGTTCCCATGGACTTAATTACCATCTCTATGCTGACAATTCTCAAATCCACCTATTCTAACCTAATCTTTCTGCTGACCTCCAATCTCACATATCCAACTGCTTTTCAGATATCTTGAACTGGATGTCCAGTAGACATCTTAAACTTCACATGTCCAAAACTGAAGTTATTATCTTTCTCCCTAAAACCTCCCCACTCCTACCTTCCCTATTACTCTAGAGGGCAACACTATCCTCTTAGTCCCTGAGGCTCATAACCTAAGTGTCATCCTTGACTTTTTCACTGTCAGACCCCAATTATTGTCAAGGTTTGTCATTTCACCTTTGCACCATCTCTCACCTTTGCCCCTTCTCTCCTCTGACAATGCTACCACTCTAGTGAAAGCCCTCATCACCTCATACCTTGACTATTTCAACAACCTGCTGGTGTGTCTGTCAAGTTTCCCCACTCTAATCCATCCTACGTTCAGATACCAAAGTGATTTTCCTAAAGCACTGGTCTGACCATGCCTCTACTTAATAAACTCCTGTGACTCCCTATTGCTTCTAAAATAAAATGTAAAATCTCCCACTTGGCATTCAATATAGATAACAAAAACCCATAACCTTTCTAGAGATAGCTTAGGGTTGTTGTTTTTTTTTTTTTTTGTTTAAAGAGGACGATTGTAATCTAAAATGAATCTATGTAACTAATTACACTGAAAAAAATTTAGGTAATGCGGACAGGAAAACAGCTGTGGACAGGAGTGGAATGGGTAATATTGGCAGGTTGGACTGGTAGGAGTTTTCCAGGAAAGTCACTTCACTTGAATGGCTCCTATTTTTCACTGATTCTTTCTGTCCTCTATTTTTGAATCCAAAGATTCTAAAGGCTCTAGGATTTATTGGTTTGTTTATTTGTTGCCACAAAAGCACCCATAACTGCAAGGGTTTTAGTAAATAAAGGGAATTGTTTTTTCTTTAGCTTTTTTCTTCTTTTTCTTTAACTTTTACATGAGTTAATAGTTATGATAAGGTAAAAAGTATGGGGAAGGGACAATATCTATTTGGATGTACAGGGACTGCCAGTAAGGTAATCATAAAGTACTCTTTTTCTAAAGGTATATACCAGACAAGGAAACAAAAAATTGGTTACCATATGAATTCCAGTGGCTTGATAGTACTGCCTGCATGTATGTCCCAAAGGGTTGTGCTACCTCAAAGAATATGTGCCCATGACAATGTCATAAAAATTAGCCCTAGACCTTGGAAATAAAGGAGACCTAAAGTTAAAAAAAAAAAGACCAAATTTTAAAATAAAATATCATATTTCAAATTATGAGGTAGGGAACAGGAACTATACTTCTTTCATGACTTACCAAAAATACTTGAACAGTGTTAACAGTATAATGCCAACTTTCTCACTATCCTTCAACCCCCCAGAAATCCTGGAAATATTTATGGGATTAGATCTGAGAAGGGACTTTAGAGGTCCTGTAGGGCAAAAAAGACTGTGGAGTACAGAGCATTGTTCTGTGCAGGTTAGCTCTCACTCATATTTGAAAGGGCTCTTTCTGTGTGATGGCTACTCCTGCAATTTGCTTGTTCACGCTATGAATTTTACCACCAGGAAAGGTTGGGATAAGGGTCACGATTCAGTTAGAACAATATATGTATGTGCTTAAAAATTTCTGTCATTCTCCTTTTTAATTTAAAATACAAAGACCCTTAGGTTAAGCATATGCTCAGAGCTGACTGGTGTTTAATGTAACAATGGCTTCTACCATATCTGAGAATTTTTTGTGCACAAGGGAAAAGAAGTGTACCAATTCTTTTGAGTTCTTAGAACCTAAAGAATGTGCCTATAAACAGAAAAAAAAAATGAATATTTGTTAATATTAGAGAAGAATTTAATTGGATACCTAAACCAACTGTGGAATGGTCAAGAAGATATCAACAGGGAAGTAGAGTATGTGCATTTGGGTGAGGAGAAGGCTAGGATCTACTGCATAGCTTTTTGGGGGAAGAAATACCCTCTATTCAATTTAACCTCTTTTGGTAATTACAACGGAAATTATCCTGTAGACAACAGGGAGAAATTTTTGAGTTAGATTGCAACAGAGCTGTTTTGTCATACTTCTTTCTTAGATTAATGCACTACAACTCAGGCAGCCCTCATTTTCCCTCTGACTAACCTGTCTGGACCGTACTTCCCATGGCTGGAATGGAGAAAGAGGAAGGGGAGATGGACAAATGGTGATTGGGAGCATAGAAGCAGTCTCAGTTATCAATAAACCAGCAAAAATTTCCAACATGCTTGCCACCGATTTCTTCTGACTTAAGTGCTGCATACCGATTAAAAGGAGGAGAAAATCAATAGAGCACCTAAGACAAAAAGAACTACTGCCTGATTTTTTTTTTTGAAGGGGGGGTGGTGATGCAGGGGGAGAAGAAGAGAGGAGACAATCTTGTCAGGCTGGAAGCGCAGCAGCCACTCATGGGACTAACCACAGTAATTCTCAGAATGGTGGCTCTGGCTTCTTCTGTTTCCAACCTATGTCAGTTCATCCCTCTTTCCCAGAGTTTAGCACAGTGCCTAGCAGCCATCTGCTCTTGAGGGCTCAGCTTTTTTTGGGGTTAGACTTAATATGAACACCTCTTCAGCTTTTGCCCCACTATAGTTGAGAACCACAAGGTCAATCCACCAGCCTCAGCAGAGAGCAAAGACATGCATCACCATGCCTGTCTATAAAAACCACCTTTTCCAAGCCCTTCCAATAGAAAATAAAATTCATGCAAATGAAGAGTTAAGACACATTAACACAAACCAACCTTTAGTCATTTTATTTGCTGATTATGTGAGAATTATTTGGTTTCAGTGAGATGCAGAGCCAATTGAAAAAAATATATATTCATAACCATTTAAAAATGGATGCTACTGATGAAATTCTATGGCTGAATATCTAATAAATGTATTAATTCGGAGGAACTTGGAACTGAAAAGGTATAATATTATTTAGGAACTGCAGATATTTAAATAATATGGTAAAACTTCTATTTTCCTATCAGAAGAATTAGCCTTCAAGTGTAATACTGGAAAGAAAGAAAACAGACCCTAAATAAAAGATACTGATTTGGCTTAAACACAGATACAGAAGAATTTCTTCTTCTTGAAGTGTGGTAGCAAAGAGAAATACTGCTCACCTGAATAAAAGGTATTAATTTTGGCAAGTTCCTTTTCACAGGTTTGGAAAAATTTCTCTTCAAACTTGGCAAAATACCTCTTCACTGTATCTTCATCTGTAACTGAAATGCAAGAAGAATAACTGGTATAGAATTAAAGTCTGAAAAGATTTTAAAACTGGGAGAACGAAAGTCTCTATCACTATCCCTCAGCTCTTCAAAATCAAAACTACAAAAATATTTCTCTGGAAAATGAACTCGGCGAGTATTTTGGAATAATATTAAGAAAAAGAAAATCATATAACTTCTCAAAAGGATACAAACTTTTATTTGCAGGAGATACTGTAAGACTTTACAATAACAAAATTAAACTGTTCTACAATAAGCAAATTAAATACTCATTTCTGTACAAGATGCAAATACAACTAAATGATATATTTTCACAAATTGTTCTAATCAATCACAAAAAGAAAACATTTTGAATTTACCTTCTAACTACTCTTAAAAATCTGTTTGACTCATTTAGAGTTGACAGGAAGACAGTAACATAAATGTAATCAACATTCTTTATTAAGAGATAACATTATACTTAATGAAACTGTTACTCATTAAAGTTGATTATTTGCATAATATAGTAGAAGCTTGGCTGGATAGGAAAAACATTAGATTAGGAATCAGAAATAACCAGCTTTGTACCTTCTGGCAAGTTACATAATAATTCATACTTAAAGAGTATGTTTGAGTTTACACATTACTCTCTGGGACAGTCAGTGCAATTATTAATTCCATTTTACAGATGAGGAAACTTAAGCTCAGGGACATTAAATGATTTGCTCACAGGTTACAAAAGTAACAGGGGCAGAACCAGGATCTGAACCAAGGATTTCTAACTCTATATAAAATGCTTCTTCTACTACACTATGAAATGGGTAGTGCAAGTATTATTATTCCCATTTTACAGATGAGGAAACTGGCTTAGCGAGTTCAAGTAGCCCTATGGCCAAATCTCACCTCTCAATGGAAAGTGTCCTCTCCAAAGTTACCTGCCAAATCAAATGATTCTTTCTCAATTTTTACCCTTCTCCACCTTCTTGCAGCACTGATCTACTGATCAGCTTCTTCGCCTCAATAATCTCATCTTTCTGGGTATTTATGACACTGCCCTCCTTTGCTTCTCTTTCCTGGCTAACAGTTCCTTTTCGGTCTTCTTTGCCCCCTGCAGGTACTCCTCAAGGATCTGTTCTAAGCCTTCTTTTCTCTCTTCTCTACAGTATTTCCCTTGATGAACTCATCGGCTCCCAAAGATTTGATAATTACCTTTATTTTGGGAGATAATTTCCAAATCTATATAATAAGCCCTCATTTCTCTCCAGAATTCTTATCCTACATGTAATTGACTATTAAATAGTGTCCAAAACTGAGCTCATTATCTTTACTCAAGAACCACTCTTCTTCTAAATACCCTTATTTGTGCTGAAGGTATCAACAATCTTCAGTCACCCTGGTTTGTAAAAACCAGGTGGACTTCTCTATTCTTCCTCACCTCTCGCCTGGACCACTGTGATAGCCTTATTGGTCTCCTCTTTTCAAGTCTCGACTCATTCCATCCATCTTTCACGTATTTACCAAAATGATTTTTCTAAACTACCAATCTGACCATGTCATTCTCCTACTCAATAAACTCAGATGGCTCCCTCTTGGCTCTAGCATCAAATGTAAGCTCTTCAGTTTGGCTTTTAAAGTCCCTCATAAGTGGACCACAACTGACCTGGGCACCCTTATTATACAAATTCCTTGCATTCTACGTTCAGGGCAAAACTGGTTTTCTTGCTGTTCCTTACCAATGACATGCTATTCTCTACCTTGATACCTTTCTATTGGCTGTCAACCATGACCAAAATGAACTCCATCCTCTTTTTAGAATCCCAAGTTTCCCTTAAAATTTTACTCAAGCACTACCTTCTACATGAAGTCAAAAACTTTACCATATATTTATTCGGTATGTATGTACTTAAGTACCTGCTGTCTCCCCGATAAAATATAAGCTTAACAATTACAGGAACTGTTTGACTTTTGTCTTTGTATCCCCAGAACCTGTCACATATATAGTAGGAGCTTAATAAATGTTCGTTGATTGATTGAAAACACTGAGGTTCCTCCTAGGTCTACAATCAGGATCTTGATTCTATGACCTTAAAATTCAAGTCAAATTTTCTGATGAGGACTAAGTTGGACATTTGGATGCTAAATGAATTATAAGAACAATACTACTTAAAAATTTAATTTGATATGTTATAAACTTTCTTTAGAATGAAGAACCGTTTTCATTGAAGGCTCTTCAGTGAATCTCCAAGCTGACGAAGGGAAGGGAATAAGCGTTTATATAGTGCCTATTATATGCCAGGCACTGTGCTAAGCACTTTTCATAAATGTTATCTTACTTAATCCTCACAACAACCCTGCAAGATAGGTATTATTATTATCTTCACTGTACAATCAGGGGAAGTGAAACAAAGAGGGGTTAAATGACTTGCCCAGGAACACACAGACACCAAGAGTTTGAGGCATAATTTGAACTCAGGTTTTCTGGACTCCAGGCCCAGTACTTTATCACCTGCACCACCAACTGCTTCTAGAGAAAAAAAAATTCTAATTTTCAATTTATTCACTTTTTGATGACTGTTGCCTATGAATCTAATTGCTTATTCCACTGAATGAGTTTTAATAGCATAATTTATTTTTTATTCCTCTTTCCTTCAATATTAGTAAAAATTATTGGATACCAAACAATCCTGCTCCTTTGTCCTCAGAGTAACATCAAAGCTATGGTATCCTGTCCATTGGCCTGTGCCATTTCAAGAATGCACTCATCACTAACTTAGAAGGCTTTGTCCTTTTGACCTAAGCAATTGCCATTCTTATTAATCACCAGCTCTGTAATCCTCACCACCCTTTTTCTCTGCACCCAATCATGGACTGACAGCTTTGATGCAGAAAGTCACAAAATGACACTGATTTTCACTAACTGTAAACCCATGCTACTTAAGGTTACCTAGTCCATGACTGTTGCTCAGCATTATTTTTTCTTCATCTCTTACCCGTATTGTAATAATGAAAGGATTTTGTAAACCTTAAATAATAATAACCATAGCTAATATTTATATAGTGATGACTTTGTGCCAGGCACAATGCTAAGTATCTTAGAATTATTATCTCATTTGATATTCACAACAACCCTGGGAAGTAGGTGCTATTATGATCTCCGTTTCATAGATGCGGAAAATTAGGTAGACCAAGGTTAGGTGATTTACCCAGGGTCCTACAGCTAATAAGCGTCTAATACAAAATTTGAATTCAGGTCTTCCTGACTCCAGGCCCAGCACTCTAGAGCTGCACCACCTAGTTCCGAACTAAAAAATCACTATGTATTGATGAGTTGTTACTCACTGGATGTATTCCAAAATAACTTTCACTCTCTGAAAACCTGTAACCTTGCCCTTTAACTATGCTGATTACTGTCTATTTTACTATAAAATTGAAGTTAGTTAGCCTAAGCATTCTCATCTCCCCTCCTTCACATTTTAACTAACTTTGCCACAACCGCTCCTGTCTGACAAGTGAGAGCTTCCTTTCCTTTCCAAATCTATCTGCTTCTCTTTATCTCATCCCTTCCTAACATTTCTACAACCTTTTAGAGTTAGGGTTAGAACCTTTGAGAACATGTCATTCCTCTATCTCTTAAATCTTCAAACATTCTTCCATGGGCTCCCTCTCTGCTTCCTACATACATGTTCAGTTTACCTTCATCATTAAAACAAAATAAACAACCTTGATTTTATCACCTCTTATAGCTACTGTCTCATATTTACCCTTCCCTTTAATGCCAAACTTTTAGGAGGAACAGGAGATAGAGGCAAGGATTCAATTTCAGGTTCTCTGACTTCAAAATCATTCCACTGCAACACACAGAGGATACTGAAAGGCCTTGAAATCTTGTCATTTGAGGAATTGTTGTACAGGGAAGGGGAGAGGGGAGAGGGAAATATGATAGCCATTGCCAAATACAGTAGGACTTTCATGTGGAAGAGCAATTAGAATTTGGCTTATTCTGCTTGGCTCTGGAGGACATAACTAGAAGCAACAGGTAGAAACTGACGAATGGAAGATTTTTATGGGTTCCCAAAGTGAGAGATACCACCCCCTTCGGGGCACTGGAACAATCCAGGGAGGCAGCAGTAGTTTTAAATGATGCAAATCTCAAAAATAAAATAAAAGAGTTAAAGAAAGTAGATTTCTAGGGGAGTGCTGAGTAATTTTTTTTTAAAGGAGGCAGTAGGCCAAATAAGTTTAGGAACTTCTGTCAGAACATAAGCTCTTCCAGTAAAGGGCTCTCTCTCCTTTTGCATTTATATCTCCAATGCTCAAACTGAACAAGATTTGATAAACATTTATTAAATGCCCACTATGTGCCAGGCACCGTGCTAAGTGCTAGAAACAGAAATCCAAAAAAGAAAGACAGTCTCTGCCCCCAAGAAGTTTACAATCTAATGAGAGAAAATAATAAACAAAAGGAAGCTGAAAAGGAGGGGGACGTGTATGTACCCAACTGCACGGGAGGGGAAGAGGCTGATGATAGCAATGGCTGTGGTGATGGTAGTGGTGGTGTCAAAGCCAAGCACAGAAGCCAGCAGCAAGTAAAGAGATAGCTGGAATTCTAAATCCTTTAAAAGGGAGACTATGGAAGGAGTTTTGGTTTTGGTTTTTTTAGTTTAGTTTTATTTTGCTCCACCATCCAGCCCTCAGAGGGGTAGAAGCCACTGAAGATACTGATGATGTGTGAGTACCAAAGCTGAAGCAATCTCCATGACAATGACTTTCCTAGTATATCTTATATAAGTTTATCCTGGGAAGGGAGGAAGGACAGGGGGATTATGATGATGATGATGATGATGATGATGATATAGTGGTGGTGGTGATGGCAGCTCCACACAAAGCAGCTGTCAGTCAGTCAATTAAAGTATCTATTACGTGCTAAAGGGCCATTTCTTTTCCTGAGATGGGTGAAGGTGGAGAAAGAGGCAGAAGGCATTTGGATCATGTGAGATGGGGAGGAGGAGGTGAGA